TCAACGGTCACATTTTCAACGGATGTCTTGTTTTAGAAATTTTGAAAAGTTTCAACCGCATTCCACAATTCATGTCGCTACAAAAAAAACTGTATTCAAAATTTTTACTTGAGTTTTGGGAGAAACCAGAAAAAAAATTGTCTTGAAATTTTATTCTTATAAGTCACTCGGGGAAGTGAACTTGTTGAAGAAAAATCTTGAATATGCGGCGCCGCTACCGGCTGAGCTACGCGTTAGCAACCAGCGCTTTCGGAGAATCGGTTTCAAAAAAAAAAAGAATTTTGTAGATTTTATCATTTACCTAAACCATTTCAGTAAAGTGAAAAATCAGATTATATTCAATGAAAAGTTGAATGGATTTCCAGAATTCCGAATATTCATTTTCTGCGTTTTGTAAGTAGTTTTTTTGATAATTACAAAGAATGAGCAATCTGAAACAGCAATTATTTGTTTCCAACATCCCACATCCCAAAATCTCCAACTCCTATTTTAACATCTACATCAGATTGTGTGATTCCCTTTTTGTGTGATTGTGAATAGTAAGAATTCTAATTTTAGACATGCGAAACACGTTGTCAAAGGATTAATCCCCTTTTTAAGACTTCACTTTGTATCTGTGCAGATTTGAATGAATAGGACTAGAATTCTACATTATTACGCACGCGATGACATATATGAATGATAGGAATAGATCAGAGGGGGTTCAAAAAAGAGGGATCGTTTGAGAAAAAATTTGAAAACATGGTGGGTGGAATAGGAAGGATATGGTTCTAAATAGCCATTCAAAGCTCAGAAATCTTTTTTGAAAAACGAAGAAGGAGAAGAAAGACAAGTTCAAAGAAAAAACTAGACAACGAAATGGGGGAAAAGTTGGATGGATGAGTGAGCCAATCTCTGCTTCTTCTTCTTCTTCTTCAAATATGAATTATTCCATTTAGAGTTGCAACCAAACGACTTTTTTCTTCTTTTGCTTTTTTGGAGGAAAAGTCTACTCTAACCCTCGCAACATCACGTGAGTGAATCCTGAGGCCGTATGCAAGAAAGTGGACAACCGTTTTCCGATGTTTGGAAAATGATTTTCTGACAGTGTGGAAATATTTATTTCGATTTAAAAATGTATTCGGGGCTAAAAATGACTAAAAATGCATGTAATCACTGTAAAAATTCTTGTCAGACTTTCAAAAAATCGTTTTCCAAACACCGGAAAACGGTTGTCCACTTTCTTGCATACGGCCTCAGGATTCACTCACGTGATGTTGCGAGGGTCAGAGTAGACTTTTCCTC